AAAAAGAAGAAAGAAAGAAAGTATCTTATGGTATACACTATACAGTAACAAGACTAACCTGTATGACCCAGTTGCGAAACTAAGCCGGTCTTTAGCAATGCAGCATTCGAACTTATCGAAAATTGCATCATTGTTGTACAGATCACACAGCTGCACGAAAAAAACAAATAAAAATAAAATGACATGAAATATGGGGAGAAAATAAATAAAGTTGCAAAAACTACAAAAGAGAGTTATATGATATCCCTATTGCCAATAATCGAGCTTCTCACTTTAGGCCGTAGATTGTCGTGAATCCTAAATGTTGCAACTGGACCGGCGTCCATGTTCATATCCCAAAGCTGAGAATGAAAACATATTATATCGTTTTTGGATTTACTGTTTGATTAAGGCATACAAAAAAAAAAAAAAAAAAAAAAAAAAAAAAAAAAGAACAGAGTGCATGAAAAATAGAGCTCTCGAGGAAAAGAACCTTCAGATTCATATAATCACGGCTCAAAATATGCCTTCCATCATTTGAAAATTTCATATCAGTTATTGACGCAATAATCTCGGTGAAGAATGATTTAGGCAGCGAGTCTTCATCTTTGAATCTGTAGAAATAAATATTTGGTGTTACCGAAAAGTAAAACCATGAAAGACATAACAATGGCGGAAAAAAAAAATGTGATGCAGAGTAATGATACTCACATCCTTGCATTATGATCACATAGAGCTGATTGTCTCATGTCTACAAGCCGAACAAATCCCCTTGAACTGCTGTACGCCAGAAGATTACAGTGAAATGGGTGGAATTCCGCGGCCGTGATCACCTCTAACAAAAATTCATGAAAAAACCAATTATTCTTTTTTGTTTGGAAAGTAAAAAAAAAAAAAAGAAACAAGTTGTTTGAATGTTGCAATCAATCTGAATTTTACCCGCTGCTCATTCATTTCTCTAAGAAAAATGAGTAATAAACAGGTGCAGAGAAAAGTAGATGGATCAATATCTTTTGCTCCCGAAAAAATTCCAATTAAAAAATTCGATTGGCGTCATAGAATGCTAGATTAATGGCAAGATATGTTGGATAATTTACCTATTAGATCTTCCATGTTTGTAGGCTTCATGTCAATTATATTGAAACATTGGTTGCTGACTTCAAGATTCCACAAATTTATTCTTAGGTCATCTCCAGAAACAAATGTCTCCCAATCACTTCAAAAGATATGTAAATTTCAATGAGAATTGCTGTGACAATTTTTAGAACATCGAACTCGTTTATCGAAATTATTTAGTTGTTTGTCAGGTGGTATATGTAGAAAATAATTAATAAGTGTAGATCTGAATTTTTATCACATGGTCATTGAAAATATACAAAATTCTAATGTACCATCTCATATTTCAATTTCCTCCTAAATGCCAATTACATTGATAGACCATTATACGTTAGAATAGCAAATTTAGAGTATTAGACTCGAAAGAAATAAACAACTATAGAAACAATTAGAGATCCACATACTAACCATACCTATTAACCGAGATAGAATTGACATTGAAATCATGAGCATGTGCATACACCTTTCGGCATCTTGCTCGAGTAGCGTCCTCTAAGCATGCTATCTAGATAAAGAAATAAACATACCTGAGTTTTATAATAGAGAATATAACAAACTGAAATTTGTGTAACGAATTTAAACTATGAAACACACATACCTTCTTGCTTCCTCCATTGTATGATACATTATTCACCACATTTTCTGTCAATTCTAAACAACTGCTGTTAGAAAAATCTGTTTTCTGTCCATTAATAAAACTCTTTTCGGCCAACAGTGAATTCTCTGAAGATACAGATTGGCTTATTTCCATTTCTGAGTCTTGCTTCACTTCATGGTCCTTGACCTGTATTTTGACCACCCATTTAGCATAATTGCAGGGAAGTAGAAAGTGTAGTTAACTAAATTGAATTATAAACTTAGCTACCGGTACTAAGTTTCAATCATAACAAGTTGCATAATTGCCGGTAAAATCGAAAGCTTAAGCTGAAAAATCCTTTTCCATATCATGAATTAGGACAAAAGTCCACCAAGAAGATCTAAGATATTCCCTATAACATGCTGTGAATTTCCTTACACCTTTTTTCAAAGAGGTTCAATTACCAATTCTCAGCCTAAAAAATCATCTTGTACAAAAGATGTTGAAAGGTAGTTTTACCTTCCATAACTTGATAGTCTTATCATTTGTGGTAAGAAGACATAACGATCCATTTGGTGGCGCACACCACTTGATTTTATTGATCTTTTCTTCAATCTCCATGCTCTTCAAAGAATCAAACTGCAACAAAAGGCATTACATTACCAAACAATGTTCACAACAACAGAGTCAATATACTTGTTTTGATGTTTTCTTAAAACCAATAAGACGGGCATACACTAATATATTGAAAACTAGGAAAAGAATCTGTCACAGAGCAAATACCTCGGGCTCGTGACTCTGAAATTCAGTTTTATACTGAAACGTAGGATGATTTATCGGAGCACTATCAAGTTGCTCTAACTCATCCCGTGAAGTGAGCTTGTTTACTTCCTATAACATCATAGAAAATAAATGTTAACATCCAAAAACAAGTGGAATTAAGAGGGAAAACACGAGTCTACTGTTAAGTCACGCGACATTCAACTAACTCAATGATGTACAAAGTGGAATTAAGAGGGAAAAAACAACAAAGTGCAATAAAGAAAAGAGCGCCATTTGACACAATCAACACGACAAATATGCATCCGAAAAGAGTTTGAGCTTTCGCGTAAATCCCAATGCTAAAGACTACGGTATTTCAGACTTTGCAACTAAACCATAAAGTCATATATTTCCACTTTGCATACTTAATCCAATTCATGCATTTTTCATCCTACCGAACAAGGTTAACATGAACAGGAAGTCGAGAATTCAGGTGGTAGTTCTTTGCAAGCCGAAAATTCTCACACTCACACACAGACACACACAGAAGATGATAAACTTTATCATTTTCGGAGAAAATCAAAGGGAAAGGGAAAATTCGCACCTCCTTATGAAAGATGACAACACGGCCTCCTCGATCGCCCACAGCCAGGTGATCCCCATTCTTATCGAATTCAAGCGCCGTAATAAAATCAACTACACATGTAACAAACAAACAAACGAACGAATAAAAACCAAACTTTTTTTTCCAATAAAAATTAGCAAGATCATAAGCCCAGAGATGAAACGAAGTATAAAATACAGCGCCCAGGTATTAGAATCGGAAATTCACCATCCAGAATATCTTCTCCAGGGAGCTTATCGCCGAACGCTTGGGAGAATCTCCACTCCAAAGCGGCCGGAGGAGGAGAAGCGGAGGAGTCCGAGCCGAAACTCATACTCACGGCTGATTGCGGCGGACGCTCAAAACGGCATCTTCCGGCGCCGGCGGATTTAGCAGCTGTTCTACAGCTCTCGGTTCAACTCAGCCGCTGATTTCAGCACTCGTGTTCGCGTGTGTGAGTGTGTGTGTGTGTGTGTGAGAGAGAGAGAGAGAGAGAGAGAGAGAGAG